AAGTGAATGTATAGGAGCCTTTGAACCAAGTGAGAGAGTAATTGTGGTAGGGGACTTGAATGCTAAAGTAGGAGAAACTTTTAGAGAGGGTGTGGTAGGTAAGTTTGGGGTGCCAGGTGTAAATGATAATGGGAGCCCTTTGATTGAACTTTGTATAGAAAGGGGTTTAGTTATAGGTAATACATATTTTAAGAAAAAGAGGATAAATAAGTATACACGATATGATGTAGGGCGAAATGACAGTAGTTTGTTGGATTATGTATTGGTAGATAAAAGACTGTTGAGTAGACTTCAGGATGTACATGTTTATAGAGGGGCCACAGATATATCAGATCACTTTCTAGTTGTAGCTACACTGAGAGTAAAAGGTAGATGGGATACAAGGAGAATAGAAGCATCAGGGAAGAGAGAGGTGAAGGTTTATAAACTAAAAGAGGAGGCAGTTAGGGTAAGATATAAACAGCTATTGGAGGATAGATGGGCTAATGAGAGCATAGGCAATGGGGTCGAAGAGGTATGGGGTAGGTTTAAAAATGTAGTGTTAGAGTGTTCAGCAGAAGTTTGTGGTTACAGGAAAGTGGGTGCAGGAGGGAAGAGGAGCGATTGGTGGAATGATGATGTAAAGAGAGTAGTAAGGGAGAAAAAGTTAGCATATGAGAAGTTTTTACAAAGTAGAAGTGATGCAAGGAGGGAAGAGTATATGGAGAAAAAGAGAGAAGTTAAGAGAGTGGTGAAGCAATGTAAAAAGAGAGCAAATGAGAGAGTGGGTGAGATGTTATCAACAAATTTTGTTGAAAATAAGAAAAAGTTTTGGAGTGAGATTAACAAGTTAAGAAAGCCTAGAGAACAAATGGATTTGTCAGTTAAAAATAGGAGAGGAGAGTTATTAAATGGAGAGTTAGAGGTATTGGGAAGATGGAAGGAATATTTTGAGGAATTGTTAAATGTTGATGAAGATAGGGAAGCTGTGATTTCGTGTAATAGGGCAAGGAGAATAGCATCTTGTAGGAGTGAGGAAGAGCCAGTTGTGAGTGTGGGGGAAGTTCGTGAGGCAGTAGGTAAAATGAAAGGGGGTAAGGCAGCCGGGATTGATGGGATAAAGATAGAAATGTTAAAAGCAGGTGGGGATATAGTTTTGGAGTGGTTGGTGCAATTATTTAATAAATGTATGGAAGAGGGTAAGGTACCTAGGGATTGGCAGAGAGCATGCATAGTTCCTTTGTATAAAGGCAAAGGGATAAAAGAGAGTGCAAAAATTATAGGGATAAGTCTGTTGAGTGTACCTGGTAAAGTGTATGGTAGAGTTATAAATTGAAAGAATTAAAGAGTAAGACGGAGAATAGGATAGCAGATGAACAAGGAGGCTTTAGGAAAGGTAGGGGGTGTGTGGACCAGGTGTTTACAGTGAAACATATAAGTGAACAGTATTTAGATAAGGCTAAAGAGGTCTTTGTGGCATTTATGATTTGGAAAAGGCGTATGACAGGGTGGATAGGGGGGCAATGTGCAGATGTTGCAAGTGTATGGTGTAGGAGGTAGGTTACTGAAAGCAGTGAAGAGTTTTTACGAGGATAGTGAGGCTCAAGTTAGAGTATGTAGGAAAGAAGGAAATTTTTTCCCAGTAAAAGTAGGCCTTAGACAAGGATGTGTGATGTCACCGTGGTTGTTTAATATATTTATAGATGGGGTTGTAAGAGAAGTAAATGCGAGGGTCTTGGCAAGAGGCGTGGAGTTAAAAGATAAAGAATCACACACAAAGTGGGAGTTGTCACAGCTGCTCTTTGCTGATGACACTGTGCTCTTGGGAGATTCTGAAGAGAAGTTGCAGAGATTGGTGGATGAATTTGGTAGGGTGTGCAAAAGAAGAAAATTAAAGGTGAATACAGGAAAGAGTAAGGTTATGAGGATAACAAAAAGATTAGGTGATGAAAGATTAAATATCAGATTGGAGGGAGAGAGTATGGAGGAGGTGAACGTATTCAGATATTTGGGAGTGACGTGTCAGCGGATGGGTCTATGAAAGATGAGGTGAATCATAGAATTGATGAGGGAAAAAGAGTGAGTGGTGCACTTAGGAGTCTGTGGAGACAAAGAACTTTGTCCTTGGAGGCAAAGAGGGGAATGTATGAGAGTATAGTTTTACCAACGCTCTTATATGGGTGTGAAGCGTGGGTGATGAATGTTGCAGCGAGGAGAAGGCTGGAGGCAGTGGAGATGTCATGTCTGAGGGCAATGTGTGGTGTGAATATAATGCAGAGAATTCGTAGTTTGGAAGTTAGGAGGAGGTGCGGGATTACCAAAACTGTTGTCCAGAGGGCTGAGGAAGGGTTGTTGAGGTGGTTCGGACATGTAGAGAGAATGGAGCGAAACAGAATGACTTCAAGAGTGTATCAGTCTGTAGTGGAAGGAAGGCGGGGTAGGGGTCGGCCTAGGAAGGGTTGGAGGGAGGGGTAAAGGAGGTTTTGTGTGCGAGGGGCTTGGACTTCCAGCAGGCATGCGTGAGCGTGTTTGATAGGAGTGAATGGAGACAAATGGTTTTTAATACTTGACGTGCTGTTGGAGTGTGAGCAAAGTAACATTTATGAAGGGATTCAGGGAAACCGGCAGGCCGGACTTGAGTCCTGGAGATGGGAAGTACAGTGCCTGCACTCTGAAGGAGGGGTGTTAATGTTGCAGTTTAAAAACTGTAGTGTAAAGCACCCTTCTGGCAAGACAGTGATGGAGTGAATGATGGTGAAAGTTTTTCTTTTTTGGGCCACCCTGCCTTGGTGGGAATCGGCCGGTGTGATAATAAAAAAAAAAATACCTTTCAATAGAACTGAGGGAAGATAACGGCTTAGCCTGTAAATGAGCTGAGGGAAGATAACAGCTCTTAGCCTGTAAATGAGCTGAGGGAAGATAACAGTTCTTAGCCTGTAAATGAGCTGAGGGAAGATAACAGTTCTTAGCCTGTAAATGAGCTGAGGGAAGATAACAGTTCTTAGCCTGTAAATGAGCTGAGGGAAGATAACAGCTCTTAGCCTGTAAATAAGCTGAGGGAAGATAACAGCTCTTAGCCTGTAAATGAGCTGAGGGAAGATAACAGCTCTTAGCCTGTAAATGAGCTGAGGGAAGATAACAGCTCTTAGCCTGTAAATGAGCTGAGGGAAGATAACAGCTCTTAGCCTGTAAATGAGCTGAGGGAAGATAACAGCTCTTAGCCTGTAAATGAGCTGAGGGAAGATAACAGCAGCTCTTACACTGTAAATTCAGCTGTGTAAAGAAAAAAAATATTTGCACATGGTGCGGGGCCTCTCAAGGGAGGTTCCATGACGCTGGTGAGGGGCTCTTGATCTAGGGAATTGGATCTGTGGTCCGGTTCCCTGCATTAACCCTGAATACCTTCCATCCCCCCCCACATGCGCTATATAATCAGTACGGATTTAGCGCTCCCCCATAATAATAATACAGATGGTGTGAAAGTCTTGGTGTTAAACCAGTAATACCTTCACACAAGACCTGTCTGTAACGTGAACTTCCACTAGGTTCTTTTTCTTTTGTCTCTGCTGGTGTTTATTCAATTGCTCTGCTGTTTGTACTGCTCTCTTGTTTGTATTGATCTGTTGTTTTTATTGATCTGTTGTTTCTATTGTTCTGTTGTTTCTGTTGCTGTGTAGTTAGTATTGTTGAAGTCTTCGTATGGCTCCACTGATCTCTCTCTTTGATCCGCCCCCGGGATTCCTTCCCAGTACGCTTATTTTCCCTGACCTAATTTTCAATTTGCTTGACCTAAAATATTTTTTCATATAATTTCGCCGGCTACTGTACAAACTGACTGAATGTTGATGGCAATATTTGCTCTGAAACATCTGTGACATCATTTTTCCTTGTGTGTGGAAACACCTGACTCCACCTGGAGACAGCTAGTCACCAACACGCTATTGGTGGTTATGACTTCATCCAATATTAAATCATCCAGTGTGAATTTATGCAATATAAAATCCCCCCAATATATGGTGTGTTGGATGATGGTATTGGGAGCCTCTTGGTACAGTGGAGGAGCTCCTAGCTTGTGTTTCGACTTCTCGCTCTCCAGTCTACCGATTATATAGGGACAATATAGGGAGGTAATATAGGGAAGTACCACTCTGGAAGTCTCCTGGGGGCCATCATCCTCAGAAAAAAGAATAAACTTGATTCAAGGCAAACTTAAGACTCCCTTTGAAGCTGTTTGAAAATTGTTTTCTCCTACAACCCCTATATTTATATATATTTTATTTAAAGCCAAAATATACATACATACATACACACACACACACACACACACACACACACACACACACACACACACACACACACACACACACACACACACACACACACACACACACACACACACACACATATATATATATATATATATATATATATATATATATATATATATATATATATATATATATATATATATATATATATATATATATATATATATATATATATATATATATGATGTGGTCAGAAGGGTCATAAAGTTCCAGTAAGAAGAATCATGGAACGTATGTAGGCTACTGACTGGGGCCTCATCACACAACAGCGTGTCCAGCAAAATTCGCAGTTAGTGAAAAATGAGTTTATATTTTTTTTTTAAGTATTATCGATCTAGCTGCCTGTTCTGGCAAGCATGAAATTAAAAATTTACCATATCATGAAAAACGAATTCTGCAACCGGTACTGGGGACTTATCCGTCGAGCTTGCAATTGCAAATCCGCATTTATACTAACCCTGTTGTAATATTGGCATAGATGTGGTCTTGCGTCTACAGGAACGCTCGTTCGGTCCTCAGTATTCCTTTATTTATGAAAAATACGTCTAGAGCTTTTTCTGCCAGAATAATAATATATTTCTATGCAACCGCACTGTGGTAATTATCTATGTTTAAGTCTGTGATGTTAACATCGTGGTTGAGCTGTGATTCTTGGATTCACAGGCATACTAACGTGCTGTTTCCTCTTCTCAGGAGCTGCTACAACGTGTGTTCTCCCTGTGGGACGTGCAGGGCGACGGTGTCCTTCTGCAGGAGGAGTGGGTCGACCACCTCAAGTGTTCCACCAGGTAATTAGATATATATGGGGTTGTAAGAAAAGTGGATGCTCGGGTATTGGCAAGAGGTGTGGGGTTAAAAGATGAAGAATCTAACACAAAGTGGGAGTTATCACAGTTGCTCTTTGCTGATGACACTGTGCTTTTGGGAGATTCTGAAGAGAAGTTGCAGAGGTTGGTGGGTGAGTTTGGTAGGGTATGTAAAAGAAGAAAATTAACAGTGAATATAGGAAAGATTAAGGTGATGAGGATAAAAAAATGTGACGAAAGATAAGATATCAGATTGGAGGGAGAGAGTTGAAGGAGGTGAATGTATTCACATATTTAGAAATGAACGTGTCAACAGATGGGTCTATGAATGATGAGGGGAATCACAGAATTGACGAGGGGAAAAAGATGAGTGGTGCACAGAGGGGAATGTATGAGTATATCTACACCAACGCTTTTATATTGGTGTGAAGCATGGGTGGTGAATGTTGCAACAAAGAGAAGGCTGGAGGCAGTGGAGATGTCGTGTCTGAGAACAATGTGTGGTATGAACATAATGCAGAGAATTCGTAGTTTGGAAATTAAGAGGTGCCGGATTACTAAAACTATTATCCAGAGAGCTGAGGAGGGGTTACTGAGATGGTTTGGACATGTAGAGAGAATGGAACGAAACAGAATGACTTCGAGTGTATAAATGTGTAGTGGATGGAAGGCGGGGTAGAGGTCGGCCTAGGGAAGGTTGGAGGGAGGGGGTAAAGGAGGTTTTGTGTGCGAGGGGCTTGGACTTCCAACAAGCATGCGTGAACATGTTAGATAGGAACGAATGGAGATAAATGGTTTTTAGGACTTGACGTGCTGCTGTTGTAGTGTGAGCAAGATAATATTTATGACGGGTTTCAGGGAAACCGGCAGGCCGGACTTGAGTCCTGGAGATGGGAAGTACAGTGTCTGCACTCTGAAGGACGGGTGTTAATGTTGCAGTTTTATAACTGTAGTGTAAGCGCGCCTCTGGCAAGACAGTGATCGAGTGAATGATGGTAAAGTTTTTCTTTTTCGGGCTACCCTACCTTGGTGGGAAACGGCGGAACTCCGCGTCAACTCTCATTCATAAACTCCAGTGATAGTAAACAAACGCACGTGGGATTTGTTTACAATCACATCGCCTTATCAGCAGATCACGAATCATGACGTGACTTATTTCCGTGTTATCACAATGATCTCCAGCGTGCAGATAATACAATAAACACATGGGAGAGGATATCTGTGGCATTTAAGCTCTTGGGATATACATACTTAGAGCTTTCAAACATACAATATAATGTATTTTTTTTTTCATTTGGTTATCTGTAGCACTACGAATCTTCTATCCACTTATACACTGTTTATGTTGACATGTCAAGAGTGAGGTTACAGTACTTCAGAATTATGCAATAATATAAATTTTCTTCGTTAGCTACCTAATAAAAACGGACACAAGTGCAAGAGGAGCTTTTTATTGTGACAAACGTTCCACTCTGTTAATGAAGTGATTAAGCTCCACACAGAGCGAAACGTTTTTCAACAAAAAAAAATTATTCTTCACCTGCTTTTTTATTTATAGATGTTTAAACTATTGCATTGTGCGTATGTATTGTAGGAAGCATCTCGCATTAATAATAATAATAATAATAATAATAATAATAATAATAATAATAATAATAATAATAATAATAATAATAATAATAATATTAATAATAAAAGCAAAAATACCATCAGAAAAGCCAGTCTCTAAACCAGGTCATTCTCTCTGGTAAATGACAGTTCGGTGGGCAGCCAGTTGGGGTACTCGATGCCCTAGAGAAATTACTGCTGCTACCTGTGTTGTTTGGGTCCTCACACTGTGTTGTGTGCTGGCTGGTGGGGAAGGTTCTTGTGTGTTGGACGGTTTCGCCGAAAATCTGCCACAAATATTTTTTTTGGCGATGGGTCAAAGTGAAAAAGGCAGACTGTATTGTTTGTGTCATATGTTGAGAATTGAACAGTTTGTTGCCTTGGAGAGAGATGAGGATAACGGATCGGCAAGAAATTCCACAACGCCCATATCTCTGTTTACATTGTGTCCGAGTGTAAACTGGGAACAGCCGATGCCATCTGGACAGTAAACGGCAAATAATACAATATTTACTTTGAAAAAGTAAATCAAATTAATCCATTGTTGTACTGAGAAAATAAAGTGCGTGAGAGGCAGTGAGGATTACACCTCTTTGCTGAAAGTTAATCCCGTGTGGGTAATTCGATGTTTAGAAGGGTGTAGGTTCGGTCCTCCGTCCGGTGATCACAAGGAGGGAGTCCTTGGATCTGCATGAAAGGCAGGAAGGCTTCAGAGGAGATATGTTACGCCAGTGGGTGAAGAAGTTCCTTTATCGCTACTATGGAGAGCCTATCTGGCTTGGGGAGGACTCCTTCTGCGAGTCCTACGATGGGTGAGTTCCTGTGTTGCGTTCTACAATGGGCGAGTTACGATTGTCCTGCGATGGGTAAGTTCCTAGTTAGCGTTCTATGAGCTCCTGTTTATCATACGATGGGTAGGTACACAACCCGCACTTAGGAGAAAGATGCTTATGACGACATACTGGCCCAGCTCGGACCATTAACAAGTCACACTCACACACAAAGATGAGGAAGCCAGCATATATAGAAGGGACGGACGGGACAAAGAGAGGAAGAAGGAAGTTAGATAGGAAGTGTAGTAATAGTGGTAAAAGTAATGTTGGTAATGGAATTAGTAGTGCTATACACAAATAACCCGCACATAAGAGAGAAGCTCACGACGACGTTTCGGTCCGACTTGGACCATTGACTTTGTCAATGGTCCAAGTCGGACCGAAACGTCGTCGTGAGCTTCTCTCTTTTATGTGCGGGTTATTTGTGTATCGTTCCAGTCACGGTATTGTGCCTTTTTGTTATTTATTAGTAGTGCTAGTAGTAAGTAGGTGAGTAGTGGTAGACAGCCACGGTAGTCTTTGTTCTTGATGGGTAGGTGCCTGTTTGGACGAGTCAAGCAACAAGCAAGTCTCGAGGATATTTCATCCTACAGTGAGTAAATACCTTAAGTTACCCAAACAAGTTCTTCCTTGAGTAAATCTTGCACCTTCCCTTCGCATGTCAATTCTTTGTAAATGAAGAAAAATGCGTAATAACCAAACCCTCTTGGACGCCCAACTTTTGCTGATTGATTCCTAGGTACGGCTAAACCCGTGTTCTTCACGTTAAAATTCCTAACTATATCACTGTCTTGGCTAATGAGGTTTAAAGCTTATCGACTGCACGAGCCATTAGGCTGCACGTAACCTGTTCACCACCAGTCAAGAATTCTGTGTTTGTCTACCAAGAAATGCATAAATATTTTTTTATTATAGAGATTACAATTTTTAAATACTTTTAAGATCGTAGATTACCGATTGTAAATTTCAATGTTATTTTTTTATTATACAAAACAGAAAAACCATAATTTCTGATAATGTACAAACGATTAGATATAGAATTAGAATAATCTTTCTGGATATTTTAGTGTTTACCTGGAGTTTACCTGGAGAGAGTTCCGGGGGTCAACGCCCCCGCGGCCCGGTCTGTGACCAGGCCTCCTGGTGGATCAGAGCCTGATCAACCAGGCTGTTGCTGCTGGCTGCACGCAAACCAACGTACGAGCCACAGCCCGGCTGATCAGGAACTGACTTTAGGTGCTTGTCCAGTGCCAGCTTGAAGACTGCCAGGGGTCTGTTGGTAATCCCCCTTATGTGTGCTGGGAGGCAGTTGAACAGTCTCGGGCCCCTGACACTTATTGTATGGTCACTTAACGTGCTAGTGACACCCCTGCTTTTCATTGGGGGGATGGTGCATCGTCTGCCAAGACTTTTGCTTTCGTAGTGAGTGATTTTCGTGTGCAAGTTCGGTACTAGTCCCTCTAGGATTTTCCAGGTGTATATAATCATGTATCTGGAGAAAAGTTTAACACGATTAATATAATTACTGTTTAAAACTAAGAATTATTACACTATAATTCCCAGGTAATTTTTCAGAACGTGTAATAATTTTATGATCGTGTTTTTTTTTTTTTGTCTCTGTACCTTTACTGAATGCTGGTGAAGGAATCTTGATCCTAGAAACAGGAGTTTCTCGTCCTCCAGGAATCGAACCTGGCTGCCTTTATTCCTCTACAGGCGCTGTGGCCCTGTTGCTGCTTCTGGTCTTGGCCACTGCTCGCCAGGTCTTGACTGTCATAAACCAGACATCCACCTCGTATTAAATTTCACATTGTGATGGCAGGATGTTTCATGGTGATGTCTCGGGAGGGGGGATTATTAATGTTTTCTAAGGTGAATGCCATTGAAGAAAGGGCATTTTTGTTTTCTAGCGATGTAAATGCATTCTAATGAGATGACTGATACTTTCTAGTGATGTAAATGCATTCTAATGAGAGAATTGATGTTTTCTAGTGATGTGAATGCATTATGGCGAGGTGTTCGATGTTTTAAAGGACCCCAGTGGAAATAAGTCACTCTGACTTCTTTTGAGTTATCCTAGGTTCTCTACACATATGCTGCTATGTATGATAATCTATGCAACTGTATTTGTGTATACCTGAATAAACTTATTACTTACTAAAGATGTGTAAATGCCTTCTTAGGAGTGGGATTAATGTTTTTTTTATGATATAATTGACTCCTTCTGTTGACGTGACCACTGATGACTGGAATGTTTTTCAGGGAGGTTGGAGCGAGGGAGTGGGCGGAGCTGCTGGAGGTGTTGGCCTACGTGGTATGTGGAGAGGACCAGGAGGTCACTGAAGACCTCTTTACCACCATCCTTAATTCCAGAGGGGTGAGTACCTCGCCTACAGGGACCCAGGGCCATGTTTCGCAAGTGCTTTGTGGTATGGTGGGCCATTAATGAAACTGCGTTGTACTCCCCAAGAAGAGGTCTGGTGACCTAGGTAGTGTTAGTGCAACCCATTCCAATTTAACGTCGATTTTTGGACGTTGTGTTCCTCTGATTTCTTTATTTTTTAATAAATACTAGTTATTAATTATTAGCCGCTGTATGACCCTTGTGGATTTAGCGCTTAAAACATACGGGTTTAGGAATTTACAATGGTCATAGTGTGTAAAGGTGGGAGGTCATGAAGGTACTTCAAAGTGCCAGGTGAAAAGATTTTTCTGTGGCTTGAGGATTTGATTTTTTTCGAATATGGCAATGTGATTACTAATGTTTCTCTCTCTCTCTCTCTCTCTCTCTCTCTCTCTCTCTCTCTTTCTCTTTCTCTTTCTCTTTCTCTTTCTCTTTCTCTTTCTCTTTCTCTTTCTCTTTCTCTTTCTCTTCCTCTACCCTGTATGTGTGTGTAACCTCTCTCTCTACCCTCTCTCTCCCTTCTCTCTACCCTGGTACCACAGGTGTTGGAGAAGTTATTTCGTCTCATCAACAAGGAGAGTGATGGTCTTGTGAGTCGACAAGAGATCATGGACTTCCTCGCTAACCTCACTTATGCCCGGTAAGTCATTTCTTCTATCTACACTTGCTCGCCAAATCACACTTTATTGTATTTCCATAAACCCAAGTCCTCCTAACAAGTATCGATGGAAATAAGTTGAAGGTCTCATAGGCACGTATTAGCGCCGTTATTTCATTTCACAACATTTATTGTGTTGTACTATATTAAATTATTTAACCAGTTTGGTAACTGTCGCAATAACGTAGCAGGGCTGCCTGTATTTGCTGGGTCAACCCAGCTGTTCCAGCCTTCGCCAGGCTTGACGGAAGCCAGACTCCCTTCCTCTCCTGAAAGCGCCCAAGATGAATAACTCTTGCTAATTAGTTGAAGTTGACAGTTAAAATGTTGCTATGACACTGTCGTTGTTAGGGTGCAGGAAAGTTTTGATTAGTAGTTCTTTATTTTCCCAGTTACCAGTCAGTCCAATGTATTAATTACCAATAATAATTCAGTAGTCCCAACTTTTTAGTATGAAAGGGCCAGCTTGATAAGCCAGATTTAAGGAGGGCCGCATTTTATAATTTTTATTTATATTTTGTAATTGATGACACTGTGCAGTGTGGAAACTAAGTGACTTCATAATTTCATGTGAGGGCCTCATCCATTTCCTAGAAAGGCCACATGCGGGCAGCATGTGGCCCCTTCTTTACTCCCTCTTCATTAAGATACATGGCTTCCTCAAATAAAATGCCGGCAATATTAAGACCAGGCTTCCTCGCAGTGTAGACAGTATTGTACTCTCACAAGCAGGATTCCTCACAGGCTTGTTAATTGTTACTAAGAATATATAGTTTCAAAGATAAGTAATGTAGTTTCTCGAGGCAGAGGCTACAACACAGACATGTCTAGTTAGACAGTGTCATGACTGAGATCGGGTCTACTCTAAATTCTTATGAACAGACTTGAGGCAGACACTACTCTTCATCAAGCTAAACTGCTTGTAAAATGGGATGTAAATTGTGTTCTTTTGGTTTTAGTGAAAATAATGTACCGAGCTAAGAACTTGTTATATAGTTTGGTACATATTTCGGCCGCCTAGCACCCAATATTGATTACAAGGTAGCATGCGAGTGTTGGCTGGGTGGCGAAGGTATTCACTGGAATTATGAAATCAGTTATGGAAAGAAATTACCATGATCCAGTCTTGAATTATAGGTACTGTATCTAAAAATCATCCATGCCCCCACCTCTGAAATGAGATCCAGACTGTGCAAAGGACGTAATGTAATGTTTTGAACCTGCTTCTATTGTGTAATTCTTGGACTGCGTTCCTGACGGTTTTATACCTATATATCTTACATGATGCTTCTGCATATGTTAACGTGATGTTTGGCCTCCAGTGTGCGAGTCCTCGACACCTGACGTACTGCTGGGGCTGGTGCGCCGGATATGAACGTCGACCCTACTGATAATAACACCTGATTTTAATTTCCTTGGCTCGTGTTCTTCCCGACTTTGTATTGAGGACAAGCTGACTACTTTTTTTATGTGCTTATTTTCTCTAGTCGTTCTCTGTTACTTGTAAATCAGAATAGAATCCGGTTTAGATGCTCTAGAATTCCACCTGTAAAAAAATTTGTTGGTCGAAAAGGTGTGGACAAATAAATTTGTGGACGAAGTAGTTTGTTGGTCAGACTTGAAAATGGATTACATTTATTGTAAAAAAAAGTGCATGTAGCCAGTATTTAAATTATTTTTCCTGCAAATTGTCATTTTGTCCGTGAAAGTGGTTTTTCCCTTTTCAATTTCACATTTCCATAGTGCCCTTGCTGCTCTGATCATAATCCTATAGACGTAATTAATAATATACTTTCGTTCTCATTACCTTTGCACTACATGGTGCTGCTGACTTCCTAAAGGTCACGAACGCATTAAATCTTACTTCTCGTCCCTTTCTTAAACAAAAATCCGAAGCCGCCACTATCCCAAAATCCCTTCCTCCAGTTGTGCGTGGACTGAGTGACCTTTCCTACTGCCCTACTGATTCACTTGAAACCTTTCTCACAACTTGTGGTTACTACTGACGCACAACTATGAACTCTTCCCTTTCCGCAGTTCCCGGATGGAGTTCATCTAAATCCTCCTCGCTCTACGAGTTGTCCACTAAGATTAATCCATTTTTTACAGTCCACGGACGGGGTTCACTCGGGAGAACCTAGAATGGCTCGAACAGCTCTTCCGCCAGGCTCTTGGACACAAACAGGAGCTCTCCTTCGATGACTTCAAGAAGATCGTCCACTCTCGCAACGTGAGTACCAACGGTTGGCGGGGAAAGACCATGACCTATGAGTCTAATCTTTCCGTCTCAAGCTTTACTTTAGTTTCGTCAATCGTGTTTTATCATTCCATAAACCTATCTTTCTGCATTTCGTGCTTTAAAATTTATACTCTCGTTCAGTCGTTCTTCGCTGAGCGAGTCTTCCAGATCTTCGATCGAGACAACAGCGGCACGGTGTCGCTCTCAGAGTTCATCGATGCCATGCACCAGTTCGCAGGGAAGTCACCGAACGACAAGATAAAGTTTCTCTTCAGGGTCTACGATCTAGATGGTAAGAGAGAGAAGATTCAGTCCTCAGAGACGAATTTAGTTTATTATTAGTTATGATAAACTAGACACGTGTGCAACTCTTGGGTATCTTTATTGAGGAAACGTTTCGCCACACAGTGGCTTCATCAGTCCATACAAAGGAGAATCGTGAAGAAAAGGAGGAGAATGATGTAATCAGTCCCTCAACCTTGAGTCGATGTGGTCAGTCCGTCAATCTTGAATAGAATACGGCATATGTTAGGAGAAGTAGCTTATGAACCATAGGCAGGAGAGGTGCAGCAGTCGTAGGTGGTGTCACATTTTTCCAATGTAGAAGTAGGTCGTGCCCAAGGGTTAGGCAAGCGAAGAATTCCTAAGTATTAAGATCCCAAGAAGTTGCAGTGTCTGACAATAAAGATACCCAAGAGTTGCACATGTGTCTAATTTATCAACGTGTCGGTTCTCTGAACTATTCATCTACAACTATTAGTTATGTTTAGTTATGATCGACTGCAAAGGGGTCATTAGGACCAGTCTTAACTAGTTACTAGTAAATGAGGAAACGTTGTCTACTGGAATAGAGTAAACTATGTGTATTGATACACGCCTCTCACTGCTGATACCCAGTACGGTTACTATTTACATCCTAGGAAACCTAGAGGAAGAGCAGATCTTGGTAAAAAAATATAATTATCATTTGGAACTGGGTAAAGCTGAAATTGATCTGAACTTGCCCAAGGTTATCATTGGCACCACTGTGGTCACGGTGGTGCCTATGCTAACCTTCCTGTGGTGTATAAATATACCTGGTTGGATGAATCTTGTTGTAGCCAGCTGGCCCATTGGATAACTCGTCGGTCTGGAGTTTTACGACTCTGACCGAGGGTTCTATCCCCTCCCGTATACCTATACCATGGTATGGTTTAACTAGTCTTAGAGAACTCGTTTACTTTTCCTAGTTGAAAATTTGCAAATTATAGTGATGTTTAGATGGACGCCTTGAAGGAGGAAGGGTTCTTCATCCAAGAAACTGATTGCCTCCCATTCTCAAGGTGCTGTATCGTATAGCATCTTGGGAATGGGATGCTGCTTTCCCATGAATGTGAAACATAGCAACAGTAAATTCACGAAAGTTTGGTCCACCAGTAACTCTTTTACTTTTCAGGTGACGGACTGATCCAGCAGAGTGAACTGCAGAAGGTGATGAAGGCGTGTATGGAGGAGAATGGTATGAAATTCAGCGACGAGCAAATAGAGGACCTGACGCTGGCCATGTTTGAGGACGCTGACACCCAAAACACTGGAGCCATCACCTACGAGTCCCTGAAGGCTCAGCTGGAGAAGCACGATGGTCTCCTTGAGAACCTCTCTATCAGGTAGGTCCTGCTGCTACTGCGGCTAGTTACACCAGTGTTGGTACTGTAGTTACTTGGAAAGTTTCTTACGGTGTGTGAATTTTTAGAACTTGCAAATAGTGCATTTATTTACTGTAATGGTCATATTTTACTTGTCGGGTTCTTTTAAATTCGGTAATGTTAGTGTCTGAGCATCAATCTGTGAATAACTAGCCCTTCACAACACTTTGAATCCTTCAACCCCTCACCCCCTCTATCCCGTCCTTTCTTATCTAACACAAATAGTGGGTTGGTAGTGTCCTCAGCTCGTTCACTGAGGATCTATCCCCAGCACGAGTGAAACGTTGGGCATGTTTTACAGTTGTTCCTTTGTTCACCTAGTAGAAAGTACCTGGGTGTTAGCCGATTGTTGCGGGGTCGCATCCTGGGGAAGAGGATTAAAGGACCCCGATGACTGAATTCACTGGTTTATCCTGAGATACCGACTCTCCTGGAGTTTACCTGGAGTTTACCTGGAGAGAGTTCCGGGGGTCAACGCCCCTGCGGCCCGGTCTGTGACCAGGCCTCCTTAGGTCAGTGTCCCAGGATGCGACCCACACCAGTCGACTAACACCCAAGTACCCATTTTTACTGATGGGGAACATAGACAACAGGTGGAAAGAAACACGTCCAATGTTTCTACTCTGGCTGGGAATCGAACCCAGGCCCTCACCGTGTGAAGCGAGAGCGTTAACCACCAGGCCACCAGAGCCGGATAAAAAATCTGAACAAAATCTTAAATTATAAATCCACCAGCCTCATCCTCTCCCACCTTCCCTTCTCTTGCCTTGTCCTCCTTCCCTCACTTCCTTGCTCTACCTCCTTATCATTCACGCATCCCTACACTCATACATGCCTCCTCACCCTCCCTTACTCAGCATCGACCGGTGGCTGGTACCTCCGGATCTAGGTACCAAGAGGGAGACCTTCCTGGAGAAGGTGTCCAAGCTGAGGCCCTACCAAATGTCGTTGCCCTACGTCAAGAACAACTACGTCTACATCATCTTCCTGCTGCTCTACATCGGTGTCAACTTAGGTCTCTTCATCTCCCGTGCCATTGAGTACAAGGCGCACAACGGCCTCACCATAGTGGCCCGGGCCTGTGGTAAGCCAGTCTTCCCACTGAATTATTTCATTGCCTATTTTTTGGTGATGCTCAATGTCAATTTATTTTCTTTGTTTCATGTTAGGTTGAGTCAATTACATAAATGTATAGGAATGTAATTTTACACACCAACTTTTATGCCTATAACTGTAAAAATCAGTTTACCAACTTTCTTAACAAATCAAAATTTTATTCTGAAAGTTCTTACTCTCTTAAACTTATTAAAAATTCAAATGAGAGTACTTTTGACCTCCAAGTCGAAAAGTTTAAAATCTTAAAAGTAAAAACGTTGTAAGGGGGGAAAAAATCGCAAAAGCAAATATGAGATTTGCGATAGCAACAGACAGCTTCACTATCCCCCCCCCATCATCAGTTCTCTGGAAGGTGGTAATGCTGTCTCCCCACACTGTCATTTTCCATCCCCAACGAGACTAAGGCTGCTATTTTGTGTGTGCTATATAGCAGACTTGTCATCAGTGACTTCACTGATCACATAGATGTGTGTTTGGGAAGTCACGGGACCGGTAAGCCAGCGGAAGGCCTCTGTCAGATGACCAAAAGCTCCAACTGCGGGTCATACGACAATGACCCGCATCAGGAAACACCTGTCCTGTTTCCTGACAAACCTACCTAACTGGCCCAGTGAACCACCCAGAAATGCAACAAGGTATACAGAGCTTGGTAGGACGTTAATGCTCGGCCTTCCTCCTTCAACACAGAGATAGTCACTCTGACACCTGTTCTTTGTAGGATGAAGGTAAATCACACAAACTCACTCATAGCTACCTGCTTTGCAGGTGTATTGCGGCATGCAGACGACTGTAAAGCAAACTTTGTTTACTAATGACTTCGGTCTTTTCACTTAAGTCGTGAATTTTATGGTTACTGAGGTCCCTGTAGGGACTGGAGTTTACCTGGGGGAACTTTTTTTTTTTTAATCTTTTTGTCGTGATTTAATTTTTAACAGATGCCTGTTAATTATTTTAACATGTACGTATGTGTGTTGCGTGTTCTTATATAGGATTTCCTTGATAATTTTCCACACTGAGGTACCCAGGAACCGGCCTCCCTCCCCTCCCTATCATTTTTTGCACCTATCTTCCTCTCGCAGCATCATCTTCCTCTCCACATGATATACCCGAAAATATTTAGGGAGTTCCTTTACCTCTCAACACGGATCGAGGCCAGACTTGACTACCTGATCAACCAGGCTGTTGCTGCTAGTGGCCCGACGATCAGGCACTTGTAGCCGTTAGTGGTCCGGATTTCTTTCAAAAAGAAGTCCAGTAGTATTTCTTACCTCTTCCTCTGTCCCCAGGTTAGTGCCTGTACTTCCCCTATCCCCAGGTTAGTGCCTGTACTTCCCCTGTCCTCAGGTTAGTGCTTGTACTTCCCCTGTCCCCAGGTTAGTGCCTGTACTTCCCCTGTCCCCAGGTTAGTGCCTGTACTTCCCCTGTCCCCAGGTTAGTGCCTGTACTTCCCTGTCCCCAGGTTAGTGCCTGTACTTCCCTGTCCCCAGGTTAGTGCCTGTACTTCCCCTGTCCCCAGGTTAGTGCCTGTACTTCCCCTGTCCCCAGGTTAGTGCCTGTACTTCCCCTGTCCCCAGGTTAGTGCCTGTACTTCCCCTGTCCCCAGGTTAGTGCCTGTACTTCCCCTGTCCCCAGGTTAGTGCCTGTACTTCCCCTGTCCCCAGGTTAGTGCCTGTACTTCCCCTGTCCCCAGGTTAGTGCCTGTACTTCCCCTGTCCCCAGGTTAGTGCCTGTACTTCCCCTGTCCCCAGGTTAGTGCCTGTACTTCCCCTGTCCCCAGGTTAGTGCCTGTACTTCCCCTGTCCCCAGGTTAGTGCCTGTACTTCCCCTGTCCCCAGGTTAGTGCCTGTACTTCCCCTGTCCCCAGGTTAGTGCCTGTACTTCCCCTGTCCCCAGGTTAGTGCCTGTACTTCCCCTGTCCCCAGGTTAGTGCCTGCACTTCCCCTGTCCCCAGGTTAGTGCCTGCACTTCCCCTGTCCCCAGGTTAGTGCCTGCACTTCCCCTGTCCCCAGGTTAGTGCTTGCACTTCTCCTGTCCCCAGGTTAGTGCCTGTACTTCCCCTGTCCCCAGGTTAGTGCCTGCACTTCCCCTGTCCCCAGGTTAGTGCCTGCACTTCTCCTGTCCCCAGGTCAATAACATCTTTTCCCAGGTCAGTGTCTGAACTTCAACTGTATGTTCGTGTTGGTTCTGATGTTGCGTCAGTGCATCACGTACCTTCGGTCCATGGGAGCCGCGGCGTTCCTGCCCCTGGACCAACACATGTACCTGCACAAGCTGTGTGGCTGGCTTATCTTCATTTACTCTGTCGTTCACACCATCATGCATCTCATCAACTTCGGTGTGTACTCTAGGCCTTCTACATCCACGTAATTTGCATTTCTACAGCTACTACTTTGGCTCTTGATCGTAGCATATATTTGTTAATGACATGTAGTCTTGAAAATAGGTTGGAGAAATACACGTATCTAAAATGAATAAGATTTGAGAAACTCCAGTCTATTATAGGATGGTGGATCCGATAGTGTTCCTCCATTCTAAAATCAGTGTCTCCTACTAACCCCATCTCTTTTCCTCAGCTGTGTATATCGTGCCTGACATCTATGGGATAAACAGCGAGGCGTGGACCCTGGGAGAGTGGATCCTGACCATGAAGCCTGGACAATTCGGCCTGGTGAAGGGCATCGCTAACCCGACTGGCGTGGCGCTTATGGTCATCCTCACCATCATGGTGATCTGCTCTCTTCCTTTCGTCAGAAAATCTGGATATTTTGAGGTGAGATTTCTTTATCCAGAAGTGGTCTTAGGTGATCATTACTAGAGTAAACATTCTTCGATGTGAATATTATTCTTTTTTCTATGATAGGAAATTACTGCATGATTAGGTATTTATTTTGGCACTCCATTGTTGACGATAAACCGAGAGTAAACTTAGTTGAGCATTCAAAAAAAAAAACAGCGCTTTTATTCTAAAAAAATTCACCAAGTGGGGTTTGAAGTACTAAGAAACTTTCCCAGAAAGTTGCTAATAAAGAATGTAACTTTTCTGTGGTTAGTGTTGATGGAGGTCGGGTGATACCAAAGAAGGCGGGAGCTGGATGTAGATATTAAATTGAGGCGTTTTGTTTTCTGTGTTGATCCTGGACAGTGTATGTGCAGTGGGTTTTGCTTAATCATATATAACTGTTTTGTTCTATGGTTTTGTGGATAATGGCTGCTTGGAGACAGCTCGTTTTGCCCTGTGTATTTTCATGATCTATCGATTGTGCTTCCCCAGTCAGTGAGGCAGGTGTGGAGATTACGATAGGCAACACAGGTGGTGTTGCTTGCCTTTGTGTCTGGCATAAGGATGTGTCATCCTTGTAAAATTGTTCTCAAACTCCCTAATAACCTGGCATGAATATTTGAAAGGAAGACTTCGTTCAAATAATCATATATATTGAACCAAAGAAAAATATAAATTTTAGACCAAAAAATGACAAACCCAAAATCCTTTGTGTGTCTTTCCTTAAGTCGATGCAATATGTTAGTAAATAAACAGCTCAGTAATTAGATGGTAAACTGCTGCAGTGTAAACACTTTTCCCTGGAGAGGAAAATCAAACTATGCGAGTAGTGTTTTGGTCTACTGACTTGCAGACGAAGGATAACCTACACTACTCCTTGTCCTAGATAGTCCATGCAGTTTGTTTCACACAAATATCACAATAAGTGTTCCTGCCTCAGGTGTTCTACTGGACTCACCTGTTGTATGTGGCCTTCTGGGTGCTGACCCTCCTTCACGGCCCAAACTTCTGGAAGTGGTTCGTGGCACCAGGTATCATCTTCGTCATTGAGCGCATCCATCGCACCATCAGGATGAGGATCAGCTCCGGCAAGGCCTACATCAGGTGGGTCAATATTAAAATGGTATACAGTACCTACGGATTGGTAAGACGCACGTTCAACATTTCAGAATAAAGATGCCTAACTGTTACACATGCCTTACCAATCAGATGGGTCACAAGAGTATGCACGTCCCTATGGTCCTCTTTCCATACACTCCCTCCCCCTCCTTCCCTGTGTGTGTGTGTGTGTGTGTGTGTATATATATATATATTATATATATTATATATATATATATATATATTATATATATATATATATAATATATATATATATATATATATATATAATATATATATTATAGGTAGTAGGTTGGTAGACAGCAACCGCCAGGGAGGTACTACCGTCCTGCCAAGTGAGTGTAAAACGAAAGCCTGTAATTGTTTTACATGATGGTAGGATTGCTGGTGTCCTTTTTTTGTCTCATGAACATGCAAGATTTCAGGTACGTCTTGCTACTTCTACTTACACTTAGGTCACACTACACATACATGTACAAGCACATATATGCACACCCCTCTGGGTTTTCTTCTTTTTTCTTTCTAGTTCTATCTTGTTTATTTCCTCTTATCTGCCATGGGGAAGTGGACAGAATCTTCCTCCGTAAGCCATGCGTGTTGTAAGAGGCGACTAAAATGCCGGGAGCAAGGGGCTAGTAACCTCTTCTCCTGTATATATTACTAAATGTAAAAGGAGAAACTTTCGTTTTCCTTTTGGGCCACCCCGCCTCGGTGGTACGGCTGGTGTGTAGAAAGAAAGAAAGAATATATATATATATATATATATATATATATATATATATATAGTAAAATGATAGTCTGAGCTGCTGTCACTTGTTTTCCTTGATTCTCTTCAGGATTAAAACCAATCAAACACCCAATTTCAAAAAAAAAAATCAGAAGAGAAACTAGTAGAATGGACACACTCTTAGGCTAAGAAAACGCTGAAAACCTTACCCCGCGTAACTTGACTATCTGTTTGGTAGCTCTGGGGTGTTACTGCCCTCCAAAGTGATCCACTTGGTTATCAAGAGGCCACCCCAGTTCCACTTCCACCCTGGTGACTACGTCTTCATCAGTATCCCCGAGATAGCCAAATATGAGTGGCATCCCTTCACCATCTCCTCCGCACCAGAACAAGAGGGTAAGTTACCCCTTAATGCTTATTATGATTCATTATTGCTGTCACCTGGGCCAAATAAATCATGCCAACCAAACCATATCCCCGGCCGGGATTGAACCCGCGGTCATAGTCTCAAAACTCCAGCCCGTCGCATAGAGTTTTGAAACTCTATGACCGCGGGTTCAATCCTAAATCATGTCCTTTGCAAGGGACGGATTCGGTGGGTCCTACAGACGAGCAGCAAATTAGTTTTGATTGGTGAGGGAATGTGACTATCTTCCTTCAGTGAATCGTCAGTTAGTTTTCGGTAGGTTGATCAGACGGACCTCACTCCTAGCCTTTGTTTGCAGGTGCTTCTGCCCTTCTGGGTGATTTATAGTGCAGCTGATTGTGGAGGGCACGTTAATTGTTTGCTAACAGCTCCAACTTTTTTCACTTAATGCGTGATTTTTATAATTATTGTAGTGCCTGTAGGGACCTCTGGGAACTTTTATCTCTGACAATTTAGTGAGAACTATTACTGATGTTTATTTTAACTTGAAGTAACAGTATTTATTTGTAATTTCTATTATTAAAATATTTATTAAATATATTTTGTAGTGATGCATAATGCTCTCTGTTTTCTGAAACTGACTTCAGCATTACTCCACTGCTTTTTCTATAAATTGAGAGAATTACCAGCAGAATTCATAAGTAGGACAGGTTGTGATGTTCCTCTGGTACACAGACGTGGTGTGGCTTCACATCAGAGCTGTGGGACAGTGGACCAACAGACTCTACGCTTACTTCGAGCATGAACAAGAACGCTTTGACCGCCAGATGTGCGAGCTGGTCGCCCACTCTGTCGACACAAGCACCGCTCTAGCACTCGACCCCACTCCTCTCAACACGTTAGTCCCTCCGTGCTTTTTTCTTTTATTAGTATAACCGTCTTATACAGCTAACTTATCCGCTACAATTTATATATACAGTTAGAACTTGTTACTTTACCTGTCACATCCATCACAATGATTTTTTTTACATCACAAAAGATGGTTCTTATAAAATTCGCCATCACCGGGATATTAATGGCCATTGTAAGGCTATAAAAGCGCAGTTAGTATTTTCTCTTAGAGGACGGAGGATAGTCTCCACATCTCCTCGTGCAGTTAATAACCCACACGGGTGTATCACGTAAGTTACTTTGGCTTTTTTGGGGTTATCTTACGTAATTTACATATTCATTTGTATTTGTGTAGCTGTACCTAAATAAAATTGCTAAAGCTCTTTACAGTACTCAAGATAATTACTACTATGCAATATTCTCAGTGGTACCCGGTTTAGTCTAATTCACTGTAAATTTGGTAATTCAGTTATTCAACCCATAAATATCCTGCTGGTTGGGGTAGTCATGGAATTTAACAGGCACATAACTAGTCTAGAGACTGTACCCCAACATTCAGCCCAGCAAGTTACAGTAGTGATGAACCCGCTTACAAAACTAAGTTTCAGTAACTATAATAAGAGATCTTACATAATTTATTCGGCCACATAAACATTAAATGTAAACATGACACGTTAAAGCATATTTAATATTTGTTCCTCTAAAAATAGTTTAATATGTATTCACTCATTGCATTAGTTTCATTCACTCATTGCATTATTCATTACCATAGCATGTATAAATGTTGGTAGAATTACCGACAATGTTAGGTAAAAGGACAGAAGTGCAACTAATGTGACATTTTATTGTGGCAACGTTTCGCTCTCCAGGTGCTTTATAAAGCTTGATACACATATGCTGCACTTGGCCTTTTACCTAACATTCCCACAGCATGCCCAGTATACCACTGCACCCTTACCATTAAAGTGCGTTACTGTGAGTGCTAATGAGTGACGTGTGTTCTCGTACAGGATGGTGAGCGACGGACGCAGGGCACTGACCAACACACCCACCTCGGGTATGTTACTCCCTTTCTTCACACTCCTACCCTGTGGTTCGACTCCACACTGCTTGTAATCTTCCTTTTTCTGTCCCTTTGTACTACTATACTACTACTACTACTACTGTCCTTTATTCATCTATCATCGTGCATAACTTGAATATATTTATCCATTAGCCCTCTGTTTCTTTAGCTTAAAGTTCTTTTAATAGCAATAAAGTTCTTCTGTATATCAGTGGTATAATAAACCGACAAGCATGTTAGTAAGACATATTATGCAGTTTGATATTTTCAATAGTTTTGCCATCCGACTTGATCAGTTCACTAAACTGTTATGTCCTTGGTGAAATAATAAATTCCTTGGTGGACGAAATGTCTCCTCAGTAAATTGCCATAAACCTTTCACTGTATCTTATTAATACTGCTCCTTTGTGCTCCACCCTCAAGGCAACACTTCCGCCGGGCCAGAAGCACTACTGGAGAATGGCATGACCAACCTGGCCTTCGAGCTTGATAGCAGTGGGAATAAGGCCGCTCACAAGGTTTCCCCAGGAGCAACTGGAACCAACGACGACACCCAGGCTGGCACCAAGACGAAATCAACATCACGAGCAAGACTTGGGACGAAGAACCAGTCGTCTCCAAGCTTCACTTTGGCATCAAGAGTGTGCAGGAAGAAGCTGGTTAAGACGAGCTCCGTGCCTGACTTCAACAAGAGAATGAAGAAGCGAGAGAAAAACATGATGTAAGTAGCAATGATGCCTGGCGCTTCACTGGTTGAGAATGCAAATAAGAGGTAATCAAACACGGTATTGGAATGTTTTATTGTTAGTTTGATTCACAAATGTGTGAAGAGTGTTACGGGAGACCTGTGGTGTCAACTCGTATCTCCCGCTCAGATTATTATATATATATATATATATATATATATATATATATTATATATATATATATATAATATATATATATATATATATAAATATATATATATATATATATATATATATATATATAATCATGGGGGAGCGCTAAACCCATAGGATTATACAGCGCATTTGGGGGGTGGATGGAAGGTATTCAGGCTCTATTCAGGGAACTGGAGCACAGATCCAATCCCCTAGATCAAGAGCCCCTCATCAGCATCAAGGAACCTCCCTTGAGGGGTCTCCCGCTCAGAGAATTTAGTTAGGGTTTAAAGGGTTGAGACGGTAGTATAGCAATATATTTTCCTCGTCTTGATGTTTCTACTTTTTATCCCAAGCACGTTGTCAACTACACTTAAAAATACTCTCCTTAAATTCATTAATAACTCTTAAGTAGAAATAGCGATTTTACTGAATAATGTACAGTATCGGGTATTTAAGGTTACATGTTATCTTTCTATTTCAATTTTTTCCATAATTATAACGTATAAACATTACCTGGAGTTTACCTGGAGACCTGGAGAGAGTTTCGGGGGTCAACGCCCCCGCGGCCCGGTCTGTGACCAGGCCTCCTGGTGGATCAGCGCCTGATCAACCAGGCTGTTGCTGCTGGCTGCACGCAAACCAACGTACGAGCCACAGCCCGGCTGATCAGGAACTGTCTTTAGGTGCTTGTCCAGTGCCAGCTTGAAGACTGCCAGGGGTCTGTTGGTAATCCCCCTTATGTGTGCTGGGAGGCAGTTGAACAGTCTCGGGCCCCTGACACTTATTGTATGGTCTCTTAACGTGCTAGTGACACCCCTGCTTTTCATTGGGGGGATGGTGCATCGTCTGCCAAGTCTTTTGCTTTCGTAGTGAGTGATTTTCGTGTGCAAGTTTGGTACTAGTCCCTCTAGGATTTTCCAGGTGTATATAATCATGTATCTCTCCCTCCTGCGTTCCAGGGAATACAGGTTTAGAAACCTCAAGCGCTCCCAGTAATTGAGGTGTTTTATCTCCGTTATGCGCGCCGTGAAAGTTCTCTGTACATTTTCTAGGTCGGCAATTTCACCTGCCTTGAAAGGTGCTGTTAGAGTGCAGCAATATTCCAGCCTAGATAGAACAAGTGACCTGAAGAGTGTCATCATGGGCTTGGCCTCCCTAGTTTTGAAGGTTCTCATTATCCATCCTGTCATTTTTCTAGCAGATGCGATTGATACAATGTTATGGTCCTTGAAGGTGAGATCCTCCGACATAATCACTCCTAGGTCTTTGACGTTGGTGTTTCGCTCTATTTTGTGGCCAGAATTTGTTTTGTACTCTGATGAAGATTTAATTTCCTCATGTTTACCATATCTGAGTAATTGAAATTTCTCATCGTTGAACTTCATATTGTTTTCTGCAGCCCACTGAAAGATTTGGTTGATGTCCGCCTGGAGCCTTGCAGTGTCTGCAATGGAAGACACTGTCATGCAGATTCGGGTGTCATCTGCAAAGGAAGACACGGTGCTGTGGCTGACATCCTTGTCTATGTCGGATATGAGGATGAGGAACAAGATGGGAGCTAGTACTGTGCCTTGTGGGACAGAGCTTTTCACCGTAGCTGCCTCGGACTTTACTCTGTTGACGACTACTCTCTGTGTTCTGTTAGTGAGGAAATTATAGATCCATCGACCGACTTTTCCTGTTATTCCTTTAGCGCGCATTTTGTGCGCTATTACGCCATGGTCACACTTGTCGAAGGCTTTTGCAAAGTCTGTATATATTACATCTGCATTCTTTTTGTCTTCTAGTGCATTTAGGACCTTGTCGTAGTGATCCAGTAGTTGAGACAGACAGGAGCGACCTGTTCTAAACCCATGTTGCCCTGGGTTGTGTAACTGATGGGTTTCTAGATGGGTGGTGATCTTGCTTCTTAGGACCCTTTTCAAAGATTTTTATGATATGGGATGTTAGTGCTATTGGTCTGTAGTTCTTTGCTGTTGCTTTACTGCCCCCTTTGTGGAGTGGGGCTATGTCTGTTGTTTTTAGTAACTGAGGGACGACCCCCGTGTCCATGCTCCCTCTCCATAGGATGGAAAAGGCTCGTGATAGGGGCTTCTTGCAGTTCTTGATGAACACAGAGTTCCATGAGTCTGGCCCTGGGGCAGAGTGCATGGGCATGTCATTTATCGCCTGTTCGAAGTCATTTGGCGTCAGGATAACATCGGATAGGCTTGTGTTAGTCAAATTTTGTGGCTCTCTCATAAAAAATTCATTTTGGTCTTCGACTCTCAGTCTGGTTAGCGGCTTGCTAAAACTGAGTCATATTGGGACTTGAGTAGCTCACTCATTTCCTTGCTGTCATCTGTGTAGGACCCATCTTGTTTAAGTAGGGGCCCAATACTGGACGTTGTTCTCGATTTTGATTTGGCATAGGAGAAGAAATACTTTGGGTTTCTTTCGATTTCATTTATGGCTTTTAGTTCTTCCCGCGATTCCTGACTCCTAAAGGATTCTTTTAGCTTAAGTTCGATGCTTGCTATTTCTCTCTGACCAGTGTCTCCCTGCGCATTTCAGATATATTGACCTCTTTTAGCCGCTCTGTTATTCTTTTCCGTCGCCTGTAAAGGGAGCGCCTGTCTCTTTCTATTTTACATCTACTCCTCCTTTTTCTTAGAGGAATAAGCCTTGTGCTTACATCGAGTGCCACCGAGTTAATCTGTTCTAGGCATAAGTTTGGGTCTGTGTTGCTTAGTATATCTTCCCAGCTTATATCGGTTAGGACTTGGTTTACTTGGTCCCACTTTATGTTTTTGTTATTGAAGTTGAATTTGGTGAATGCTCCCTCATGACTAGTCTCATTTTGTCGGTCTGGGGCTCCATGCATACATGTCTGAACCTCAATTATGTTGTGATCTGAGTATATTGTTTTTGATATGGTGACATTTCTTATCAGATCATCATTGTTAGTGAAGATGAGGTCTAGTGTATTCTCCAGTCTTGTAGGCTCTATTATTTGCTGGTTTAAATTGAATTTTGTGCAGAGATTTAAAAGCTCGTGTGAGTGTGAGTTTTCATCAGAGCTGCCTCCTGGTGTTTTTTCTGCAACAATATTATTTGCTATATTCCTCCATTTTAGGTGCCTTAAGTTGAAATCCCCCAGGAGCAAGATGTTGGGTGCAGGAGCTGGAAGATTTTCCAGACAGTGGTCAATTTTTAACAGCTGTTCCTGGAATTGCTGGGATGTTGCATCCGGAGGCTTGTAGACTACCACAATGACTAGGTTTTGGTTCTCGACCTTTACTGCTAAAACTTCCACTACGTTAATTTGACTAAATTATCAGAATTATAATCTCGCGAATGTCTTAATAACAGTTTTGTTTTATGTTAGATAATGGTTGCTTGGAGACATTTCGTTTTGCCTCGTTTATTTTCATGATGTATCGATTGTGCTACCCCTGTCAGTGAGGCAGGAGTGGAATTACGATGGGCATAACAAATTAATGAATTGTAGTCCAGTATTTTATTTAGTGTTTAAATGTGTTAGTGTGCATATAGGCACCCTTTTATTGACAGTAGCACTTAATGATCAACTGATCCCAGTTCTATACATAAAGTTCACTCTCTTCCTTGCAGCCTGCGTGACAACTTTAGAGCCGCCTCTGAGAGAAGGTTCGAAGATAGCCTAATGAAGCAGGCTCACCTAGCCGCTATGACCGCCAACTTGCCCTTCCACGAGCGACCCAAGTCCTCAGCTGCTATGAGTTTCAGGCAGGAACATTTATATTTAATGTTTTGTAACACTCATTCTTAAGTTAGGCTTTTTTTTAAGAAACTTTTAAAACAATAGGTAAAAGAGGATATTAGGTGTCTCATAGCTCTGTAGCTAACGCCCTCACTGAGGTCCGGGAGTTGATCCCCCGGTACGGCTGGAAAACATTGACGTGTTTCTAATAAGTTTATTCATGTATGCACAAATAGTTACAAAGATTATCATACATAGCAGCATATGTGTAGAGAACCTGAGATAACCCAAAAAAGTCTGTGACTTATTTCCATTGGGGTCCTTTGAATACTTTATTATACAATGTAGGAGATATCTTATTATACTATAAAGGATATATACTAGAATAAGGTAAATAGTTATTTACATATACATGTTTGTTAGTTAATAAAATAAAAAATCATTCTCCTCCCTTTCTGTTGCTACATTCATTAGGTACCTTTTGGCTGTCTTCTTGAACTGGTTCATGCTATGACTGGCTTTGACATGTGCAGGCAGTCTTTTCCATTCCTTTACTGCTGTACAATGAAAGGTGTTTGAAGCCTGGCCACTGACTGTAGGTACTACAAAGTTGTGCTCTCTCTCCCTAGTACTATGGTTCCTGACCTTGACAAAATTAGCAGAATAATATTCTGGACAGTAAAATGGGTACCTGGGTGTTAGTCGACTGGTGAGAGTCGCATCCTGGGGGCAAAACTGACCTAATTTGCCTGACATTCTCTGCATAACAAAGGCCTTTCTATTTAGTAGTCACTGATGTCGGCTAGGCCTATATACTTCGTACAGACCTAGCCAACTCATTGTACTTGTAGATATAGATATTATGTGATCAAACTTATAAAATAATTTAGACTGAATTTCAAACAAGCTATATAGAATAATTTTCGCGTTGTATTTGAATACATTGAAGTACAGTGCGATTTGGTACAAGTCTTACCTATTTATGGGTTTGGTAGTCCGGTGTAGCGTGGTTTTTGTGTCCTTAAATGTTAATGATTTCATACCTAATCCTTAATTATATTTAATAAAATATCAAAATTTTGCAGTTTTTTTTTTTTTACAGGGTGTGACAAGGTTAGGTTAAGGATCCCTAACTCTATTAACATGACTGTTTCTTTTACAGATACATGAGGCGTAAGCCAACAATAATAACACTAGACTTGCCCTCTGAAACTGATGATAACGATAGTGAAGAAGAGAATGGGGAAGAGGAAGAGGTAGAGCACAGAGGAGAAAGGGAACGCAAGAAAGAAGTGAGGGTGACCATCTTGGAAAGTGGTTTGAGCTCTGCGACAGACATTCACGGTAGGTGTATCCAGTATATAAGACTCCATACCATCACTTCAACTTCATATTGTTTCAAACTATCGAAAAAATTCTCTTATCTTTCGCCACAAAATAGAGCGAAACACCAACGTCAAAGACCTGGGAGTGATCATGTCGGAGGATCTCACCTTCAAGGACCATAACATTGTATCAATCGCATCTGCTAGAAAAATGACAGGATGGATAATGAGAACCTTCAAAACTAGGGAGGCCAAGCCCATGATGACACTCTTCAGGTCACTTGTTCTATCTAGGCTGGAATATTGCTACACACTAACAGCACCTTTCAAGGCAGGTGAAATTGCTGACCTAGAAAATGTACAGAGAACCTTCACGGCGCGCATAACGGAGATAAAACACCTCAATTACTGGGAGCGCTTGAGGTTCCTAAAACTGTATTCCTTGGAACGCAGGCGGGAGATGCATGATTATATACACCTGGAAAATCCTAGAGGGACTAGTACCGAACTTGCACACGAAAATCACTCACTACGAAATCAAAAGACTTGGCAGACGATGCAACATCCCCCCAATGAAAAGCAGGGGTGTCACTAGCACGTTAAGAGACCATACAATAAGTGTCAGGGGCCCGAGACTGTTCAACTGCCTCCCAGCATACATAAGGAGGATTACCAACAGACCCCTGGCAGTCTTCAAGCTGGCACTGGACAAGCACCTAAAGTCGGTTCCTGACCAGCCGGGCTGTGGCTCGTACGTTGGTTTGCGTGCAGCCAGCAGCAACAGCCTGGTTGATCAGGCTCTGATCCACCAGGAGGCCTGGTCACAGACCGGGCCGCGGGGGCGTTGACCCCCGGAACTCTCTCCAGATAGCTCCAGTCCAGATATCAAGGCTGAGGGACTGACCACCTCAAAACTACGTCTTCGAGGGTGATGGACTGATAACATCGTCTTCACATCTCTTCTGATCCTACCAACTTTTCTGTACTAGACTGAAGAAGCCTACTGTGTAGGCGAATTATTATTATTGTTAATCATGGGGGAGCGCTAAACCCGTATGATTATACAGCGCACGGGGGGGATGGAAGGTGTTCAGGGTCAATTCAGGGAACCGGAGCACAGATCAAATTCCCTAGATCAAGAGCCCCTCACCAGCATCAAGGAACGTCCCTTGAGGGGTAAGAGAAACTCTTCGAAATAAAGATACCTAACCGTTGTATGTCTTGCCTAACAACTGTCGGTATTTTATACCATTTTAATATTCACAAAGAAACCTCACCCAAATATTTCTTAGGTGTCGCATCCTAACACTTCCCTAACAAAGTTATACTAGAGGCTGACCAACATAGTATTCTCCTGCAGTGAACTGTTATTATAATCAAAAAGAAGCGCTAAACCACAAGGGCTATACAGCACAATGAACTGTGAAACTTGCGTACACAAGGTGTGCAACATTTCCAGACGTCACGTCTCTCTCTATTCCAATTATTACCTTTATTGTAGCAGAGTCACTCTTGAATTTCACTATTACAGGAGCCCACGACGTTTAATTATTTCATAGTCCTCCATTCACGCCGATACACTTATTAGACGTGATTAAACCAGATTTCTTTTCTATTACACTATCCAATTGTTTCTACACCATATTTCGACGCGACGCCTCCCGCCTCAACCTCTGTTAGTTCTCTCGTGCCTAATTTTTTTTCTAAGTCACGCAAACGCTACCTTTTTTAAACAATATTATATTACTCAAAATTTACACACTAATTTCAATTAAATTTAAAAAAAAAAATTCGTGTATACCAACCAGTACCGCATTAAAGGGTGAACAGATGGCTATCCTTCAGGATTGCCTGTGTAGTCACCGAACGAGAAACAGGTGTACAGCTTGATTATGTCAACGAAATCTTAGCAGGAAGAGCAATGTAGTTTGTGACTTTAATGTACAGCGATTAATTGTAGTAGAAACCCTGTACAACAAGTTACCCGAGTGCTTGAGATAAACAGAAAATTTGGTGCCTCTTAGTTGGGCATTTGCAACCTAGTTAAAATTTTTAACTGGATGTATACCAAGTATTTAGGGTGTGCCAATGATTTAGGTGTACCAGTTGTTTAGAAATGACAACTTTTTCCGTGGAAGAATTTTATTTTAATTTCTGCTCATATGTCCTTCAGATTTGTCAGCCCTGGCAGCGGAGGAGGGTCGATTAGGCCGGAAGTTCAACCTTGAGGAGGCGAGGAAGAAGTCAAGGCAGGAGGAGGCGAAGCTGAAGAGGAGGTCGAGGCAGGAAGAACGTCGAGTGAGGAAGATAAGCAGGATGGAGGAAGCCATAGCCGAGGGAGGATGTGCCGTGGGCAAGCCATTAGTGGTAGGCTTTAGTATTATTATTATACTATATTCGTGTGCAAGCGCTAAACTAGTGGGGGTAATACAGCTCGGAAAACATAAAGTAATCAAGTTGACCTTGATTGTCAATCTGTGACTGTCTGGTTCACCAGGATATTGTTCAGCCAGACTATTCTTAGGAAGCTTCTTTGTTTTGCAACCACACAAAGGATGAGGCTTCGAGAAATTAGGTTCAAGTCTCGTCTTTACATGTAAGGTTGGTAGAAAAGAAAGGGATTGAGAGGGGTTAATCCTACGGGTTTAGCGCTTCTCTTGATTATCGCTGTAGTCCTTGTGGCTTAGCGCTTCTTTTTTTATTATAATAAAAAAGAAGCGCTAAGCCACAAGGGCTATACAGCTTATTATAATAATAATAATCCTTGATTATATTATTATTATTATTATTATTATCAAAAAAGAAGCGCTAAGCCACAAGGGCTATACAGCATCCTTGATTATAATTAGTGTATTTTGAGATGGAGGGAGACTGAAAGCATTTTGGAATGATAGCAGAAAGTCATGGGAGTATCAGTTTTTTCAACAGTTGTCATGAACGTAGGAGGGGTTGGTTTGAAGTACAGTATTTTATCTCAAAAGTTAAAACTTAAAAGGCATGTGGGATGGGCACGAGCTCCTGTGGGATAATTTTTTTTTTTTTTTTTTTTTTTTTTAAACCTTTGGGATTGTGGCCGAAGTGTCGAAGGAACTGCTGAAGAAGTTGCGTAAGCTAGCAGAGGTGACAGTTGAAAAGGTACAAACATCACAAGTGAAAACATTGTAAGGGTTGAACACTAGAGTAATCGTGGTGTTGGTTCACACTGGATGTTGAGGTTGCTAGGCAACTCGGGTTTGCGCTAGTGGGTCTGATGCAGTGCTCCATCCTTCTTAAGTGGATGTGACTTCCACCTGACTGGCTTAACCAGTAACTTGGGCCGGCAGGTGACTTGGAACTGCCTAGCATGTATTTTTCCTGTTATTATTATAATAATAATCAAGGGGGAAGAGCTAAACCCGTAGGATTATACAGCGCCCTCGGAGGGAAGTGGAAGGTATTCAGGTTTAATTCGGGGAACTGGAGAACAGATCCAATCCCCTAGATCAAGAGCCCCTCACCAGCATCAAGGAACCTTCCTTGAGGGGATTTTTCCTGTTGGCTTAAGAGTTAAAGCCTGATTACAGGACAAACCCTATTGTAACTTAGAACATTAGATATCTTTCCTAGAGGAAAATTGAGGACATAAACGAGTATACAAAGGGTAGATTTAACCACTGTCAAAGCGAGAGGAAAAGTCATAGAATGATATGAGCTACTGCTGTGCAAACTTGTGATCTACAACACTTGAATGGATCGGAAAAATGCCAGCAATTTTAGTATTGTTAGGGTCTTGCTGGAATCAAGTATCAGAGCCCTCCTAGATATCCTGGTGTGTATTTTCTTAAGTGCTACTGTATAGCGGCAATAGTTTATCAGGTTGAATTGAGAAAGGACTTGCTGTATCATGATGGCGGGGTTGCTGGTGATCAAGATCTGTTATGCGGTAGTTTGTTAGCCTGGTCAGCATAATTAACTTTGGTATTGATCATCCCACTCTTCAATGGATGGTCTGAGATGTTTAGGCAATTGAAAGCTCTGAGTCCTTTGCCAGTGTTGTCAGTAAGGTATGCATCAAGATTTGCTGTCAGAAGAATTTTGCTCAGTGGTTTTAATGCCTTTATCACAACATGTTATGGAGCTGTCCACACAGGACAAATGCTTCCAAAATTGAAGTCCTCAAAATACTCCACAGCAGTTGTCCCAAAAGCAGAACACAGCAAGTCCACACACAGCATAATGCTGACACTTCTTTCACCTACTATAACTTCTTACTTTGCACATGACATCCTCACATTTTTCCAGGAATGTCGGCACTCTTGCTGCCAAGAAGGAATGAATGGTTATTAGTATTTTTTTCTATCGAGGTAGGTGTCTTTGTTCGTGAGGGGCTCTTGATCAGAGAAATTGAAAGTTTTCTCCTTTTATATCGAGCTTGATTGCCTCCCTTACCTCAAGTACTGTATCCATAAGGTTCATACAGTGCCTGAGAAATGAGAGGGGAACACCAACTCAATGAATGACCGATATGAACTTAATACTTTTTATGGCTATAATAAGAGCAATTTTGTCTTCCCTAGATCTACATCGATGGGCCATTCGGAACTCCCTCCAGCCACATCTTCCAGGCTCAACATGCTGTGCTCATTGCCACAGGGATAGGTGTTACACCCTTCGCTTCTATCCTCCAGTCCATCATGCACAAGTACTGGAAGGCTCGTCACACTTGTCCCAAGTGTGCCTATTCCTGGACTTCTGACCTCCCTCATTCAGTCATGAACCTTCGCAAGGTATGACGGGGGGGGGGGGTAGTTAATAGGCAATTATATTGGGATGGATTGAGGTACACTATCTGTGAAAAATTGAATTTATCTGTATGTAACTCATAATGTACATACCAGTAAATAACAAAGATAATTATTATTTATCAGTTAGACAAGTAGGAATTTGGGACACCCAGGTCGCAAAAAATGTCCCCCTTCGATACCTACCACTGTCATATCCACAAGTTGCTCTGGACCTATTAATTGTAAATGAAATATACATCACCAGGAATGCTGGTAAATATGTAAATTTGTGGACTGTATATTAAAAGTAAAAAAATTATTATATATACACACATTTATATAACAGGAGAATATATTTTAATCATAACACTCACCAATTTGACTGGAGATTTATGTGTCATATACAGGACTTTCCCTTTTGCCTACATTTATGAAAAAATTTACTGGCCAGAATTTAAACATAAATTAGACAGCTTATCTGAGGTTCCTGGAGTTGTCCTGTCCTGTCGCCTGATACTCAAGTTATGCAGGAATGCACATCCAACAATTTCGTCTCCTATTTGAGGTGTCAACCCAATTTTACATCTAGAGCACGAAAATTATACACTTCACATTAACGTGCTTGTAACACATTCAAAAAACAATGGCGACTGTCCTCTGTGCAGATGCAGGCTTTCCGTTTTCTATGACATATATTATTAAATACAGTATGGCCATCTATTTACATATAACTACTGTATTTCTGGAAAATATATACAGTATTTTCCACACTATCTGAATGTTTGACAACACGATGGTCATTAAGGCCACAGTCTACCTAGACCCTAATATAGTGCTTTAATTCTTAAAACAGGAAATATAAGAAAACTTCATACACTACCTCTTAGTGCGTTGTACACTAGAGAGACCTTTCGACCTACATACACATGCTACTCTTGTATTTGTGCAAGTGGAGCAAGTATTTCCATTAAATCATGAAAGTGAGCAATACTGTATTCAGTTATGGGGAAAAGCTGTTCATTGCATTTATGGCTTTAGAAAAAGGTAGATAAGGAAGCAATGTGACAGGTGTTGCAAATGTTGGAAAAGCATAGTAGGCTATTTAAAGCTATGAAGGTTTATGAGAAGAGTCAAGCTGAGGTCAAGGTATGCAAGAGATGAGGACTTATTTTTCAATAAAATTAGGCCATTATAAATGCGAGATGTCACAGGTATTTAATGTGATTATAGATAGGGGTATAAAATGAAGTGTATATGTATGGTATACAGTACCAACAAGATGATTTAGAAACGTGCAACATCTGGGTATCTTTACTTTGTAGACATTATGCCACCCAGTGGCTTGATCAGTACAATACAAAGACAATGTGAAGACTGAAACTACATACAGAAGACAGTGGAAGATGAGGTAGTGTTCCTCGGCCTAGGAGCAGGTGAAGATAATCATAGTCTTGAAGAATCTGAAGCACAGGCAAGAAAATTGGCACTTACATGCCAGCATCAGATGAGGTGCATCAGACTAAGGCTTTGTCAGTGGTAGGCAAGATTTCCCAGTCGAAGTAAGTCGTACCCAAGAGCTGGGCCAGGAGTAGTCTAGTAGGTTGTGGAGATGTCCTCTGTACCAAGATTTCATGATATTGCTGTCTGACAACTCCATAACCTACTTGCCTTCTCCTGGCCCAACTCTTGTATGTGACCTACTTCAAAGTAGAGATAGCCAGATGCTACACATATCTAATTCATCAATGCTACAGTTGTTTGGGAAAGATGCACACTTTGTCAACTCGCTTCATACAAGTTATTCAAAAAGTTGAATTTTGTTGATGACAATACTGTTGATATTTAGAAAGGTTGGTGAAAGTTTGAGAAGGTGCATATAAAAGTTGGAAGTGAACATAAAAGAGACCAAGTGATGGGAATAAGTACAAGCCTAGGAAATGAAAAATCAGAATGAGGGTAGGAAATATATTGAAGGTGAGTTCTGTATATTTACAGCAGGCATTTGGAAGTAGATATGACTGCAGATGAATGTATGAAAACAGATGAATTAAGGGGTAGGAAATGGAGGAGGAAGGAAAATGAAGTTGTACAGTCATTTGTGAAGAAAGGTTAATCAACAAAAACAGAGGGAGGGAGGGTCTCTGCTTACATCCATGTCAACATTTTTTTTTTTTATAGGTGCTGGGTATGGTGTTTGAATGTTGTAGAGGAGACTAGACACCGTTAATGTAAAGAAAAAGTTAAAAAAAAAAAAAAAAAAAAAAAATAATGAAGGGGGGTCCCCAATTTTCTTGAATTTAGATTTTTTTTATTTAGTTGCAGTTCAGAGGAAATGACAATTTTTAGGAATGCCCATAGGCTCCATATACTATTTACCAACTGATTTGATAAATCTGTCTGATTTTTGTGCAACTCAAAATATCTGTAATGCCTTAGAAATCTGGCAATGAATCATCAGGTAAGTGCAACAAAATAAAGAACATAGCAATGAAACAAAAAGTGGGAACTACTAGATAGTACAGTATATATGTACTACTGTCTTAGTTAATTCCTAGTTCAATGTGTGATAGCCAGATCTATAGAAAAATCAAGATTTTTTTTTCTCTTCAAAGGTTACAATGTGTAATTAAAATTTTAATTTAAGTACAAAGAAAGCCACTATCATGCCAGGGTATTTCTTGTGTATTCTCGATAATAAGAGAGGTTTCATTTGCAAAACAACACAGTCCAGTATTAACTGGAGTGTAAAATTTAACTTTTAACTCTTGCATTTCAGGTGGACTTCTTCTGGATTAACAGAGACCAGCGTTCATTTGAGTGGTTTGTGAACCTGTTGTCCCAGCTGGAAATAGAGCAGGCTGAGCATGGGGGAGTGCTTGACAGATTCCTGGATATGCACATGTATATCACCTCAGCTCTCCAGAAGACAGACATGAAGGCTGTGGGACTACAGCTGGCTCTTGACCTCCTCCATGAGAAGGTGAGTTTTTGTGCTCTGGTTCCTTTATAAATCACTTGTTTAAAATGTAGCATTGATAACAATTGGATTATAATTATAACCATAACTAAGTGCTAAACCCTGATAGCAATTGAAAAGTTTGGTTTGATTTTTTTTTTCTTGACATTTGGTGACTGAACTACAGAAAATGATAGATTTATTTGTCCCTACAGGAGAAAAGAGACCTTATCACTGGCCTCAAGACACGTACTAATGCTGGAAGACCAAACTGGGATAAGGTGAGGCCTTTAGTCTCGTATGTGCTAATATTGATTTCTACATACTGTTAAAGTATTCGAAAAAAAAAGCACGAAACTTTTAGTCTAGATCATCTGTCATTGCTTCAAAGGTAAAAAATGTAATTCAGTCTGCTCATTTAGGAGAGAGCCTAACCATTGCTTTCAAACTCGAATGACACCAGAGAAAATTCAAAATCTTTGTAGCACATTACTGTGTGGTTCCACTGAGTATTATACAATAAGTAGGTATCTTTTAGGTAGTAGGTTGGTAGACAGCAACCGCCCAGGGAGGTACTACCGTCCTGCCAAGTGAGTTTAAAACGAAAGCCTGTAATTGTTTTACATGGTAGGATTGCTGGTGTCCTTTTTTTGTCTCAAAAACATGCAAGATTTGAAGTACATCTTGCTACTTCTACTTTCACTTAGGTCACACTACACATTCATGTACAAGCATGTATATATACACACCCCTCTGGGTTTTTGTTTATCTTACTAATTCTTATTCTTGTTATTTCCACTTGAGGAAGTGGAGCAGAATTCTTCCTCTATAAGCCATGCATGTCATGAGAGGCGACTAAAATGCCAGGAGCAAGGGGCTAGTAACCCCTTCTGGATATATTACTAAATTTAAAAGGAGAAACTTTTTTTTTTCTTCCTTTTGGGCCACCCTGCCTTGGTGGGATATGGCCAGTTTGTTGGAAGGTGAAGATGATGAATTAGAAATTCTTGAAGAAATAATGTTAGTGATCACCTTAAATTTTTTTCAGCTTCGTCCAGTATTTTCCTTTTGAACTTGAATGCTTCATCAGACCAGCTTAAAATTTTCACTGCTGATGCACTGTAACTATTCCTGTGTGCATGTTCCCTCTGGTAAACTTTTTGCAGACAGTTCCCAGTTTTGATTTCCATGCAATAACTTGAAAGAGCCTTTCTGATCAACATGAAATGTTCAACACTGGTAAATCATACTTTTTAAAAGGTTTAAATTGCTCATGGATCATGCATTTGCAAATACACCTATTTATTAACATAACCCCTAATTGTTGAATTCTGTGCCCTTTCAGGAGAATTCCTCTTTGGACATGTTTCAAACTTTCCACTGGAGCATTTCTTATATAAAGGAAGATTTAATTAAATGTTTAGTGGGCTTTGTAACCTCCTATATACTAATTTTTTTTAATTTAGTTTTTGGAGCATTGGTATCATAATTACCTAGTTCTGCAGACAACCAAGCAAGGTAAAAAATTAAACGGCTCTTTACAAAATTTTAACCTAGTCCCTTTAATTTCTCAAGAAATTCCCTTTAACCATTTATTTTTTATACAATCTACAACAGTTATTAAATATTAAGCTGCATTAAAAATATTTTTGTACAGTCCTATGAGCCACCATTTGTCCTTGCCTAAGAGAATAACTATATAAAACTCGAGATCTAACTAGTGGTTTGTGATAAAAATTGGAGAGTAAATCCCTGCTGAAAATCTTCTTGGACTGAAGTTCTAAACTTATAGAAATCATATAGTGATTGTGGTATGGAAGGCATAAATGTTTCATCCAGTTTCTTGGGTCAAGAGCCCCAGACTGGCATAAATGCAACTCCCAGCTGTGATGGATGTGTGTGGCAATGGGCCACTAGCAGTAACAGCCTGGTTGATCAGGTTAGCACCAGATGAGCCTGGCCCATGCCCAGGCTCTTTAGAAAAACCTCTCTGAATTCATTAAAGGTGTATCACTGAAATTTATATTGTCCTAAACTCATATAGTGCCTGTATATATGTATATATATAGAAGTGACCTGTTTTGTATTTTTATTTTCCCCAGGTTTTCAAGCAGCTGGAGAATCAGAGGAAAGGAAAGATTACAGTGTTCTACTGTGGCCCACCTGCTCTTGGGCGTAGCCTTCGCTACAAGTGTGATGAATATGGTTTTGATTTCCGCAAAGAAATCTTCTAACCAGAAATTCTCGGCCCCTTGTGGTGCAGCACTTTGTGATCATGATTTCTGGCAAAAACAAGACTGCATTATTGTTTGTCATACTTCTCAGTAATAACTAGCTGCAAAGGGTAATTCTATTAATTTTTGTTTGACTAGCAGGCTCATGTCGGTAATTCCTTGTACTCGCCTTTCATGTACTGCACCACTACTAAAGAGCAAAAAATACACACACACTGAGACAGGAACCAGTGTAGTGAAGGGGTGTCTTGCACCGTTGTAGGAAATTGATATCGAGTGGTGCTCTGCAATGTTGGGTTTCACAAACAACCTGGAGCCTAAACTGCATACATAATGTTTGTCCACTTGAGCCAAGTATAATCCAAGCAAGAAATAATGTATGTCAATGTTACTGTGTATATAAACAAAAAAATCATATTTTTTAAGAAAGTTGCATTTTATAATGTTTTAAGCAAAATATATACAGAATACCTTAAGGATGAGTGAATCAGTTTCAATAAAGAATAGTTTAAAAATTTAATTGTGATTGCAAATATGTACTGTATTAGAGTGGTAAAGTTGAGCATGTGGCAGAATATTAGGTGAAATGACACAGATGCAACTAATGTGACATGGAATTGTGGCAACATTTCACTCTCAATGAGCTTCTGGAGAGCGAAACGTGGCCACAATAAAATGTTGCATTAGTTGCATCTGCGTCCTTTCACCTAACATTTTGTCAGTACACGTAATTCTAACCCCCCCTTCCCCACGTGATAAAAGCTTGCCAGCTGGTGCATTACAGTAAGTGATAATGTTGTGCACTCATACTGCAAAGTTTTTTTGACATTTATACTTGTGGTTTGCAATTTTTAGTTAAGCTGATTTAAATAGTGTACATAGTTTTTAATCTAATTAGTATGTAAAATATTCTTATATATCAAATGTGTGCGACTCAATGGTTCTATATTGACTCAAGAAATCGTAATGACACGATTGCAAACAAACCATACCCCCGGCCGGGATTGAACCCGCGGTCATAGAGTTTTGAGACTCTATGACCGCGGGTTCAATCCCGGCCGGGGGTATGGTATGGTTCTATATTCTTTGAACTAGATAGACTTGGCCCAGCACTTTAAAGTATTTTATATGGTGCTTCACTATAAGTGATAGAAAAAACTGATCTTGTGGATAAGGGAATACCTTAGACTTGGAGATTAGTAAAGTATCCAGCATTTCATTGCTTCTGTTGTGATGGTGGCAGCAGCAGTCATCATAGCCAAAGTCAGAAGCAGAGATGTGATCCATGTAAACGAATCTGTGAGCTCATGTGCTTTCAGCACAGAAATGAAGCCCACGAAATATCAAGCAAGTTAAAAGCTAAATAAATAACTGGTTTTCAGTTAAAATTACCATAGTCCCAGAGCTAAGGAAACTGCAGACCCTGGAACTGAACCTTCTGTTAGCATAATCATGGGAGGTAATAATGTTTTCTCCAAGGAAGTAAGTAGTAGCTTATTGAGCCATGGTAAAAAGCCAAAATCGAGAAATATTAAGTGATTAATTTAAATACTGTAGTTAGCACCGTATACTAACTCATTCCCTTTCAAATTACAATTCTTAAAATTATTTTCAACTTCCTTTCCACAATGCTGCATTTCTGACTTTGTGGTTGACTTGACTTGTCTGCATCGACACATTTATTATTGTACAGTACCACAACAATTTCTCTGTAAATGTTGGCTAGGTTGTTTTTGTATATCACTGACATTTACATATGTAATCAATGTAAAGATACTTGCATAGTATGCTATATATATATATATATACACGCACATACACATGCCTCGATAAATTTTTAATTGATATTCTAAAGGTTTACCAAGTCAAACAGGCCATTTCCAGTATTTACCAAACACTGAAATGACCTAAAGGTTTAGTGCTTTTCAGTGTTAAGATGCAATATGCCACAATACTGGAAGTAGCATTGATATTTGTGTACTTTGTTGTTGATATTGTATATAGAAGAGAATGATCTGAATACATATGTATCAGTTATATTTTAATATCCAAACTTTTATTTTATCCACAATAAAAAAATCACTATCAATAACAGTGTATAATATATTCAGGTTTAGTACTTGCTTGCGATTATAAAAATACATGTACTCCTATACGTGCAAAGAAGATACAGGTGCTCCTCGACTATGATTTGACTTACGATATTTCGACCTTACGATGGTGCAAAAGCAGTTACTTGAGTGATGAAACTAAGATAATTCCCTACCACGAACGCGGCAAGTCTGTGGCTCGTATTCATTTATTTACTTTTCAATACTGGTATTTACTTATACAGTACGAGTAGTTATTTACTATATATTTAGCATGTATTCGTATAATCGAGGAGCTTTCCTTGGTACGAGTCATGAGTTCTTGTGCAGATACGTTTTGGGATAAAAAATTTCTTCACTGTCATATTCGAAAGATTACCATTAGTCTGGTGGTAGAAGTTCCAGTCACTCTTCCTCTTAGCGTACAATTAGTATGTGTTATACCAGTGTCATCACTTCACTAGTGGCTTTGAGCCACTGCCCTTTGGTACACATACGATCTGTGAATTATCATTGCATTATGGGTGAAGCTGGTCCTAGAGTCGAGATAATTTTGGGATCAGTGGAAAGAAGTAGAATGCCAGTACTAATAAAGTTATTGTCCAAAAGTGATTCTAGGTTCTACAGGGGTCTTAAGTGAGTGCAGCAGTTATTTGGGATCCAGAAGAATAAAACAATTTTTATTAGCACACTGGCCGATTCCCACCAAGGCAGGGTGGCCCAAAAAAGAAAAACTTTCACCATCATTGTCTTGCCAGAAGGGTGCTTTGCACTAGTTTTTAAACTGCAACATTAATGCCCCTCCTTCAGAGTGCAGGCACTGTATTTCCCATCTCCAGGACTCGAGTCCGGCCTGCCGGTTTCCCTGAATCCCTAAATAAATGTTACTTTGCTCACACTCCAACAGCACGTCAAGTATTAAAAACCATTTGTCTCCATTCACTCCTATCAAACACGCTCACGCATGCCCGCTGGAAGTCCAAGCCCCTTGTACACAAAACCTCCTTTACCCCCTCCCTCCAACCTTTCCTAGGCCGACCCCTATCCCGCCTTCCTTCCACTTCAGACTGATACACTCTTGAAGTCATTCTGTTTCGCTCCATTCTCTACATGTCCGAACCACCTCAACAACCCTTTCTCAGCCCTCTGGACAACAGTTTTGGCAATCCCGCACTTCCTCCTAACTTCCAAACTACGAATTCTCTGCATTACATTCACACCATACATTGCCCTCAGACCTATCTCCAGCCTTCTCGCTGCAACATTCATCACCCATGCTTCACACCCATATAAGAGCGTTGGTAAAACTATACTCTCGTACATTCCCCTCTTTGCCTCCAAGGACAAAGTTCTTTGTCTCCACAGACTCCTAAGTGCACCACTCACCCTTTTCCCCTCATCTTTCATAGACCCATCCACTGACACGTCCAAATATCTGAATACATTCACCTCCTCCATACTCTCTCCCTCCAATCTTTCAACACCTAATATTTATCCTCATAACCTTACTCTTTCCTGTATTCACTTTTAATTTTCTTCTTTTACATACCCTACCAAATTCATCCACCAACCTCTGCCACTTCTCTTCAGAATCTCCCAAGAGCACAGTGTCATCAGCAAAGAGCAACTGTGACAACTCCCACTTTGTGTGATTCTTTAACTCCATGCCTCTTGCCAAGACCCTCGCATTTACTTCTCTTACTACCCCCACCTATGAATATATATTACCCTTTAAACGGTCCAAACGTATGTATACGTTTTTTCAACATTTGAAAGTATGTAAAATAATGTTTTTTTTTTTTTTTTTTTTTTGCATTTGAAAATGTGTAAAAAACAAATACATTTTATTTTTTGTTATATTTGAAATTATGTAAAAAAAAAAGTAGATCTACTTTTGGAGCACTACGGATTTGAACGTCTAAGGGTTAAACAACCACGGTGACATCACACATCCCTGTCTAAGGCCTACTTTTACTGGGAAATAATCTCCCTCTTTCCTACATACTCTAACTTGAGCCTCACTATCCTCATAAAAACTCTTCACTGCTTTCAGTAACCTACTTCCTATGCCATACACATGCCACATTGCCCCCCTATCCACCCTGTCACGCGTCTTTTCCAAATCCATAAATGCCACAAAAACCTCTTTAGCCTTATCTAAATACTGTTCACTTATGTTTCACTGTAAACACCTGGTCCACACACCCCCTACCTTTCCTAAAGCCTCCTTGTTCATCTGCTATCCTATTCTCCGTCTTATTCTTAATTCTTTCAATAATAACTCTACCATACACTTTACCAGGTATACTCAACAGACTTATCCCCCTATAATTTTTTGCACTCTTTTGCCCCCTTTGCCTTTATACAAAGGAACTATGCATGCTCTCTGCCAATCCCTAGGTACCTTACCCTCTTCCATACATTTATTAAATAATAGCACCAACCACTCCAAAACTATATCCCCACCTGCTCTTAACATTTCTATCTTTATCCCATCAATCCCGGCTGCCTTACCCCCTTTCATTTTACCTACTGCCTCACGAACTTCCCCCACACTCACAACTGACTTCCTCACTCCTACAAGATGTTATTCCTCACTTGCCCTATACATGAAATCACAGGTTCCCTATCTTCATCAACATTTAATTCCTCAAAATATTCCCTCCATCTTCCCAATATCTCTAACTCTCCATTTAATAACTCTCCTCTCCTATTTTTAACTGACAAATCCATTTGTTCTCTAGGCTTCCTCAACTTGTTAATCTCACTCGAAAACTTTTTCTTATTTTCAACAAAATTTGTTGATAACATCTCACCCACTCTCATTACATTGCTTCACCACTCTCTTAACCTCTCTCTTTTTCTCCATATACTCTTCCCTCCTTGCATCACTTCTACTTTGTAAAAACTTCTCGTATGCTAACTTTTTCTCCCTTACTACTCTCTTTACATCATTCCACCAATCGCTCCTCTTCCCTCCCGCACCCACTTTCCTGTAACCACAAACTTCTGCTGAACACTAACACTATATTTTTAAACCTACCCCATACCTCTTCGACCCCATTGCCTATGCTCTCATTAGCCCATCTGTCCTCCAATAACTGTTTAAACAATTTATCATGTGTTAAAAGAAATGGAGCAGCCCCAAAAAATAAGCGAAAAATCCTACCTACCATGAACTAGTCAGTTTCACTGCCACAGGAAGGCGTTATTACAATCAGAACTAAGTGCTAAATGCTAAACCTACAAGGGTCATACAGTGCTGCCGCAACAGATAATTCTGTTCCCTGGAAACCACCTCTTAACGTACCTAGTATACAAAACCTGGATGGCATTTCCAGAATTAATTGAGCATGGTTTGGAAAAAGCTGCCTGTTTAACCCCTTCAGGGTCCAAGGCCAAAATCTGAAGTGGTGCTCCAGTGTCCAAGAAATTTAACCCTTTGACTGTTGCAACCCCCAATCCTGAGGTGTCTCCTGGTGTCGCAAAATTTAAAAAAAAAATTATTTTTTTCTTATGAAATGATAGAGAATCTTTTCCCGATTGTAATGACACCAAAAAAATGAAATTTGATGGAAAACTGACGGAATTATGCTCTCGCGAAGTTAGCGACCTCGGTGCTTTTTACAAATCGGCAATTTCGCCCACTTTGAGCCCTCTTCGGCTAATTCCATTGTTCCAGTCGCCCAAACTCATAGCTATTTCTTTAGAACTCCATTTTTTCTATCGATTGAGTACAAGAAACTGCCCATTTACCAATTTCAACTACCTAATAATGTGGTCAGAAATTTGCAATTTGGCCAATTTCACGAAAACTAAAAAATATGACAATTTCAAAATAAGGTCCAGAATGAACAATGCAGACATTCCTGGCTCTAAAATAACATTTTCTTGGCTCATGAGTCATGTCTCCAGGCCCCTCTGATATTACTCTTGCTTTCTATTTTGAATTTTTATTCAAACAAAAAATAGAAGACTTACTATTATGCAGACTACTGCAATACTGTAATAATTGTATAAATAACATCAACCCATTCATGACTGCATATTAGAATGGCTAGTTGGACATTTATTGGACAATGGCATCATTTGTTTACTTTTGAACATTGGCAAAAATCAAACATTTCCCCTACTTTGAGCTCCATTCCTAGGTTCTTTTTATAGTAAAATCAATCAAAATCACCTCTATTTCTATAATATGTTTTCCATTCTATCAAATGAGACCAAGAAAACGAGAATACAGTGGACCCTCGACTAACGCTATTAATCCGTTCCTGAGAGCTCATCGTTAGTCAAAATAATAGTTAGTCAAGTTAATTTTCCCCATAAGAAATAATGGAAATCAAATTAATCTGTGCAAGACACCCAAAAGTATTGAAAAAAAAAAAATTTAACACATGAAATATTAATTTTAATACACACAAACTGAAGACATGCACAGTTACATGACACTTACCTTTATTGAAGATCTGGTGATGACTGATGGGATGGGAAGAGGGGAGTGTGTTGATGGTCTTAGTGTTTAGAAGGGGAATCCCCTTCCATTAGGACTTGAGGTGGCAAGTCCTTTTTCGGGGTTACTTCCCTTCTTTTAATGCCACTAGGACCAGCTTGAGAGTCACTGGACCTCTGTCACACAACATATCTGCCCATAGAGGCCTGTACCTCACGTTCCTTTATGACATTCCTAACGTGTTTCACAACATTGTCAGTGTCACCATTAAACACTTGTTCAGGTTTCAGTCCTTCACTGTCTATGTACTCCTTGAATTCCTGCACATATTTTTCAGCTGCTTTTTGGTCCAAACTGGCAGCCTCACCATGCCTTATCACACTATGTATGCCACTACGATTCTTAAATCTCTCAACCCAACCTTTGCTGGCCTTAAATTCACTCACATCACCACTAATTGCTGGCATTTTTCTAATTAAATCGTCATGCAACTTCCTAGCCT